TTTTTGCACATGTCGAGGAGCGTGTCAGGCTACATTTCACTGTGTGTTATACTTGTATAACTATGCATGTGACAAATAAAGAACCTTGAACCTTGAACCCTTTTCTAGAAGTCTAATTTTTTGTATTTCATTTCCATGTCTTCCTTATTTCCTTCACATCTTGCTCACCCACTCCGGTTTTTTGCCTTTCCACGTTTCCATTTCTTACCCCCTGTGACCTCCACACCTATCTAGCCTTAGCAACACCAGCCCCTCCTCCCCTGATCTCTGAGCATCTCACTTCTGACTTCCCCAATCCACCCACCCCGCTTTTCCCACCTCGCCTTGTCATTTTCTTTTCCTCTGCACCACTCTTTCTGTTCCCATTGCTCCTCCCTCCCTCCCTTCCTCCCTCTCTGTCTCGCCCTCATTCGCCCCTTCTTCATTTAGAGACTTGGTGTGGCTCTGATTTCTTTAAATAGCTCACATTGCCTCCAGCAGGTTGAAGCTGCAGTCTGGTTCTGCTAATAAATGACAGCGAACAAATGTGAAAGTTGAATCAATCGCATTGAGACACACAGATAGGCAGACAAAAACTCACATCCAGTAATTGCATGGACACACAAGCCACATCAGATCACACAAAATGGAAGGACATCTTTTGCAGAAAAGTGACATGACGTGACATGTTTTGCTGAAAAAAAGAGAGTTTCATAGAAACATAGCTTCAAGGTGCATGTGTCTTTTCACGTTCATGCTAAATACAAGCCTAGTCTAGTCTCATCTTATTCCTTATTCTATTTCATTCTACACTTTTCTAGTGTGAAAATCTGACAGAATAATGGATTGCAAAGTCCAAGTAATTTTGCACATTACTTCTGAGTCATTGCCTTGCATAATGAATACTGGCTAATGCACTTTTTTGTTAATTCACCACAAAGGATTAAAACATATGTGCTTATGTATCACTGCAGAGCAGTGCACATATTCTTAGCATAACCAGGAAAGGTAAGTGTGATGTCTTTATTTATTGTTTGTTTCTCTCTAACACAAAACCTGGCTTTCTCCAACTTTGTGTTATCATTACTGGCCCTGATATATCAGTTAAGTATCTTATTCAGCTTATCTGAGAGAATACGTCTGGCCAGTTTTCTGATTTTTTTTCTTTACGTTTTATCCTTGTATTTGTTGAGAGCACTAAAGTACAAGTCAGCATAAAGCCTGCTTTGTTTGGGCTCAATCACTCAATTGAAAAATATACAAAAGGTAAAAACCAAGGCTATTTTTCCCATTACACACATTTAAACACACAGCTTGATGTTGGCTCTTCGAGGTATAATTGTTAACGGAGGGCTGTCAAGGTCATTTTGAATTGTGGGTTTCATGTAGCCCAATTTGAACTGAAGTGAAGCAGCAGCAACACTCTTCTATTTGGTTCCCCAAATCCATGTGGGGAGTTTCAGCTAAGTTAATGAGTGACAACTACACAAGCATGGTTTTAACCTTTTTTAACTGAACGTTAATGTTACTCTGTCAACAGCCTATTGTCTAAATTACCGAGCTAACAGAGCTACGTAAACAGAATGAACATGAGAGCAGCTGACTGCAGACGTCAACAATGCAGCGCAATGGAATAATCTCCCGATCTTTGCGAAAGTTATAAACCGTAATCCAGTTAAGGTACAAAAAAATCGTTTCAACAAAAATAGTGATGCAGTTCACTCTTTTTTTGCTCAGCCCAACTGTCTCTGTTGATGTGTGGAGCAGCCCGTGTCAGTCGCCTCCTTCACATGTCACTCACTCATCCGGTCATGTTCTGCGGTCTCATAAAGAAACTCAGCGTTTTGATATAAAGTTTTTCCTTGTTCCCGAATACAAATATTTTTAAAATATTTGTTTGAAATAAATATTCGTAAAAAACACGTTATTTGTGCCTTTCCGAATACCATATTCAGGTTCGGCTCCACCCCTAATCTCCACTGTCTTTTGAGCGTTCAGCACCTGGTTGTTGTGGCTACACCAGGACACCAGACGTTCAACCTCCCTCCAGTAGGCAGACTCATCCCCATCCGAGATGAGTCCGATAACGGTGGTGTCATCTGCAAACTTGATTAGCTTGACAGACTGGTGGGTCGAGGTGCAGCAGTTAGTGTACAGGGAGAAGAGAAAGAAAAAAGCCTTGGGGCGAGCCGGTGCTGATGGTCCGGGAGTCCGAGACATTCTTTCCTAGTCTCACGTGCTGCTTCTTGTCCGTCAGGAAGTCAGTGATCCACCGGCAGATGGGATCAGGCACATTCATCTGGGAAAGATTGCCTTGGAAATGGTCTGGAAGGATGGTGTTGAAGGCACAGCTGAAGTCTACAAACAGGATCCTGGCGTAGGTTCCTGGGGAGTCCAGATGCTGCAGGATGAAATGTAGAGCCATGTTTATAGCATTGTCTACAGACCTGTTGGCTCTGCATGCAAACTGCAGGTGGTCCAGGAGGGGGGCCATGGGGGTCTTAAGGTAGGAGAGGACCAGGTGTTCAAATGACTTAGTGACCACAGATGTCAGAACCACGGGTCTGTAGTCACTTAGTCCAGTGATCCTTGGCTTCTTGGGGACAGGGACTATGGTGGAGGACTTGAAGCAGGAAGGCAGGCACATGACATGCTTGCAGTGAGGAGTTGAAAATGCCAGAAAAAACTGGGGCCGGCTCATTTGCACAGGCGTACATTGGAAAGGAAGATCCCAGGAAGAGCAGTACGTAGTCCGCGCCTCCTTGGACGCACGAGTGCGCCAGTTCTCTTTCCTCTCCTTCGGCGTCTCACTTTCCTGATCAAAGTTTGTAGTAAATCCGTCGCAGATGCGATAAATACTGGAAAATAAATCCACAGGTGTTGCAACCCTGTAGTTAAGAAGCTCTTCTCTGGTGTAAGAATATTCAGAAGAATGTTCAGACACACAAATTATGCACAAAAACAAAACAGAAGTAACGCACTGAAGTACCAGGGCATCCATATGCAGCGCCATCTTGGAAACAATCATGCCATATCCTTCAGTGGAGTCACTGTGATATCAGTTCACTTTATCTACCTTGCATTTAATTATTTAAACCCAGATTATCGAGCTATGACTAGCCTTTTAAATCAAACAGGTGACCAATGAGCACAATGGGGAAAAAACCCACTAAAACTAAAACACTACTAAGTTGCCCTCTGTAATTACCATTTTCCTGAAACTGGGATTTTTCATCAATAATGAAAGTTATTGTAGATTCAGAATATTTGACTGAAAGTTTGAATTGAATGCTCCCATGTAATTGCAGGGAAAAGAGTCGAGTTTAAAAATGTAGTTATCCAGGATATTTAGGAAAGGTTCAAACTTAAAGATTTTTGTTTAGCAATATCAAATAAGCAGTGTGGTATACTTTGCTGAGTATAGTACTGTAAGTCTTGTAGGTCTCAGAGTGCAAACTTGAGTTTTGCTTCATTGTTAGCTTTACCGTTATCCTCATCCTATGCATTGTTGATGAAGGATTCAATTGAGTTTTATTTATCCAGGGACAAATCACAGCAGCAGTCACCTCAAGGTGCTTTAAATTTAAGGTACACACCCTACAATAACAGAGAGAAACCCCAACAATCGAATTACCCTCTTTGAACTCCATTTTAACAGGAAGAAACCTCTGGCAGAACCAGGCTTATGGAGGGGCAGCAATCTGCCATGAACAAAATACTTGGGATTTACTGCTTATTCTGCCAATAAAATATATGAATTG